TTATTGGACCTTGCGGACTACTAATGTACCTTACGTATGCCACATGCAGCTTCTTAGGTGAAAGATATACATTAAAGTTACAAAAGATGTACCTTTGAGTGTGCCACCCCAGTAACAAGGAAAAGTACAGTTTGCTACCTTTATTTCTGAAAATGAAAATGCATCTACCTTTTCCTATTTGGGCTCAAGCAACTTTTTTTTTTTCATCCTGTGGGATGCCGATGCACACATCTATTCTGAAACCATATACTGTTTGTATCTGTATTCATATTCATTTAGGATATCTGGTTACACCCCAAATATGAATATATTTTATCTGCCTTCCAAATATTATCCAAAATCATTAGGACACAAGAGCTTATCAGTTAATAAGCTCAATATAAACTCATTTCCTGATTTAATAGCCATTCTGGACATTTGTGTTCGTCTAAGGCACTAATGGTGATTAAACTGGAATGAAACAGGTGTTCAAAACTTTAGACTGACAGTGTAATAAGATAAAATGCCCAATGAGCATAAGATAAAACCACCAGTGGCTGTAATTTGTTTATCCAAATTGTCGGCAATTGGGATGCAGTGATCAGATGTATTCCCCTGTGGAAAAATAAACCACAAAACTGTAGATCCTTTATAATCAGAGTGAAAAAGACTCCCTGCATGATTATGTGGAGTGGCTCAAAGTCTCAAACCACACCAAACCCAACCTGACAACATGATGAAAAGGAAACCAAATGGATACATTCTTCATATTGCATTAATAAAAGAGCTATAAGGCACACGAGTGATAGAATAGAGTGCACAGCCCGTCTGAATGATAACAATTCTTTCACCTAATTTGTATTTCCTTTTGCTTTGGCTTACTTTTCCCTTTCAGTCTATAGTTTTGAAATTCATGACTCAATTTGACAACTTTACTCCGGAATCTACGCCTGGCATAGAGGATATTGTGCAGTTTCATAGATTTGACTATCCATATTAGATTCCTCCAGAGCTTGTTTCATCAAAAGCCAATTTAGAGTTTTTTTGTTTACTGCGAATAAAAATGTCTGAACTTTTTCCAGACCTTTTCAAACTTTTTCATGAAGCAACACATTTAGCAAAGCAATCTAAAGACCATGCAGGATGGGAGACAAGAAGAATTGTGACTTGCACATCTTGCTAGCATATATACTGTAGCAGCAGCAGGGGCGGCTGGTGTAAATGGACTGGCAGAGGTAATCCCCCTTTCATTTTGGCATCCACATCAAATTATTTGCTGCTAACAAATATGTTAATTTTGCTTTTCATAAAGACAGAAAAGTATGTGGACGAAAAACTGATAATTTGATGTAAAATGATTGACTTTGGAATGCAAGACTCAATAAGGTCATTATTGTTTTTGTTGTTGTTGTTGTTGTTTTTTTAAATCTGATGCAGTGTATTTTTACATATATTCCAATCTTTTGGCACTAATAGGTATAATAAACCTTCCTTTGCCCCAAAAAAATCTTCATGATACACACGTCCAAGCTTTCAAAGATGCTAGTTGTTAGCATGCGGTTGTCAGGCCTGACGTTTCTTTATCCATAAACATGCAATGCTGATTGTAGCAGCAAGGTAAGCGGAGTACGCCAGAGACGTACAAGGCAGGTGGACATCTGTGGAGACCGTTTGACCAGCATCATTGTCAGAGTGAGACAGGCTGTTATCTGTGCGTGCATGGAGAAAAGCAACATGAATGCAAAGAGACAGATGGAGCAAATGATTGCCCAATGTAAATATACACCAAGGTCAGGTGGTAAGAGCCTCCAGTGCAGGATTGTGCACAGTGTTATGGGGAAATGGGTTAACATGTCCTAATTTTTTTTCTTGAATTTGCATTGCAAATCAGAGCTACCTATGGGAATACTGCCCCTACACCATGACATCTTCCACCTTGACATACACGCTAATTGCAGATCAAATATTTCCATAATGTTTACCACAGTTGTTACAGGTATTCTGAGTTATTGACATATTTCCTGACATGTCGGACAGTCAGGCATCAACCTAAATCCATGTTCTATGACTATTTCTCTGACAAGTGATGGTCAGTCAAGGTTGTTCATGGCATAGAGGGTGTGTAAGGGGAATAACCATTTATGTCTTTCAACAGTAAAAGCTTCATAAATAAGAATAACTCTGAGACTCTAAGAAACAGGAGGAGAGGAAGACAGACAGGGTTGACGAGGTGGCCTGACAGTAATAGATGAGTGAAGAAGACCTCTGAAATTCACTGCACTATCTATCAGAGATATGTCATTTATCATCCCTCTGACATGCAGCACCAAGATACAGTGAACTTTTTCCTCTGTACGTCATTCCACAGCTTCATCTTTTCAAACACAAATATTCTGTCCTCTTTGACCTACAATCCTGGACCAACTGATATACCTTCCTCTAAATATTTTCCTAACACTTTATTTAATGGTGATGTTCGTAGGGCTACCTTAAACCTACATAAACCCTTCCTGACAGCCTACACTACAACATGCGTCAGGTGTCATAAATACTACATTCCCATAGCACCCAAGTCAATTGGTATAAATATTTTATGGCATAATGTGTGTTATGGCACTTCACTTAATGAAGGCTGACTTACTATACTTTAAAACATCATGACAACTGATTTTGTAGATTTTACTTGCAACATAATAATAAGTAGGTGAACTAATCAATGTTAGGTCAGAGAAATACATAGCTCTGCCATTATGGTGTTATGTCTTAAGTTTTCATTACAAAAATAAATGAAAATAAATCATAAAATCAAACTCACTTTACTTAAGGGAAAGAGAGGATGATCAATAACTGCCATTACAATGTCTTGGCATTACCATAAGCATTCATAAACAACATGTTCTGATTTAATTCAGAACATGTGACGTGCAAGAGTTAGTACTGCAAACTAAACAGTTTAAGTAAGTTTTTTGTGTTTACTTTTTCTAATGAGCTGTTTGGACTTTTGGCTGTTTGGAGTGCTTGTTTAAGCTGCAATGTAGTAAATATGGAAATATGGCTAATTAAAACCTGTCGTTAGTTGTGTGCACAGCTCCAAGACCTCATAAGACAATGAATTACAGAAACCAAAATACATTACATTTTAGAAAGCCACATTCTCAGAAAATCACATAACTAAAAACTGAAATTGTTGGAGCATTTAAAATGAGCGGTTTTCTGTTTTATTCCTTTAAATTTTCAGCTGTTGTTGATCCTTTGTATTTGACTACTTAAAATTGCCAGTTCTTCTTAATGAATATATCTATAAAAGAAGATATATTAATTTTGGTGGTGTTTCCCAGTGCTTTTTATTGTTTTCTCATCTTAAACCCATTTTATGCTGACAAAGGCCATATTAATGAGATGATGAGTAGGACTCACCAGTGAGAAATACTGGTCAAAGTTATATAATGAGTCCTCTTTATTAATTGCCAATTAATAATATACATAACCTTTTTGTGTGCATTAACATTTCCAACCTCTAAAGGCATATTATCCGGTAATACATGGAAAACATTACAAAATGATTAAGGTACATTATAATAGGCGAGGAATATAAGTGTGAAGCCAACAACAGTTCCTTGGAGTTTATTTAGAAGGGTTAGCAAAGCCAAACATAGCCTTAATTTTTTTAAGTTACAGAAAGCTCAGGGAATACTAACTTGTCGAATAAATCACTGTTTTGTTTTGGTGATGCTGTAGTCTGTAATAGGTTCCATCTTGCAGACCCTGACATAACCAGAGCACTGCAGTTTATTGGCAGAAAATGTCGAGCATGGAGTGTGATTGTGATTGAAGATAAGCAGCCATGCTGGTGCTGATAGTTTTGCTCTAAAAAAAAAATCTCACTGTGGCTTTTGTTTGATTGTGTCTCTGAATTTCTTTGACTGCATCATCTGTCATGTGTATGGGGTCATCATGCTCGATCGGTCTGGTCCGTGCTACAGTCCCAGTTTTGTCTCTCTTTTCCATCATTGCTCAGCCTCTTTCAAAATTACATTTGCCTCACTGTTCCTGGCCAGAGTCATTTCTTGCCAGCGTTTTTTTTAATGTACTTCACTTCACCACTGCTGTCTCTTCATTTCAGTGTATCTCTATTTATCACCAGCCACCCAACTGCTCCTATCCCCACAATGATCGATCACTGGAGTCATTATCCTTCCAGAGCTCTGAAGAAATTTAATTGTAATTCCTACTAGATGATTGTGCTTTGAGTTGTTGAAATATCACTCTGACAATGGTTCCATTTTTAAATATTTATTATGAATGCAAATAAAAAAAGATCACAAAATCAAATAATATATTCTCTTTTAAGATAAGGACTTCATGACAGCCACATTGTCACTAATTCCCCCTCTCAGTGTGCAGCTCATTTCCCAGTGTGATAAAGAACGTCTCTTGTCTAGGTTTGTTCACTCCATGTGCTTTTATTTTGGTTTTGGTCATGACATTACTCGATGTCTTCACCTGTTCTGTGTCTCACGTTGATTACTTTGCTTATTATGCCCTCTTTTACCTGTTGCTCTTTGCTTGCTATGCTATTTTCTATCGTGCTATTTGTCTCATGAGTACTGAGCCTCGTTTCTTTTGTCTGTGTTCCTTGGTTTTGACCCGCGTCTGTTTTTGTTTTGATTATGGATTATTCTTGTGTTATGCTATCTGCCTGTGTTTTAATCCCAAACATAGACATCAGCTAAGATTCTTAGATTAACCAAAATAAAACCCATGTTACGTTTTTGCATTTGTATTCCTGCCTCACTCACATTCCTGCCCAACCTGGGTTGCCGGTAAAGTACCGTAAAGTTTACAGCAAACAACTGTAAAACATATTCACAGTAAGGTGCTCTAATATCTTACATAGTATAAAATAAAGCATAAAGCAGCAGATGTGCTCATTGGAGGATACAACAGAGCAGAGGATACATTAGAGGATACAACAGAGCAGAAGGTTAAGCGTCTTGATCAAAGGCCCAACCATAGCAATAAGGTGACACTGGGATTCAAACACATGACCTTCTGAGCTATAATTCAAAGCTTTAACCACTAGGCCACCACAACCAGCACAACTCAATGTTGACTCAATGCGATCTTTTCGGGGGGTTAATTCAGTGGTAGAAGTGGTTGAATCAATGTGAATTAGTTGATCTAGTTGTGGTGGCTGAGTGGTTCAGGCTTTGAGTTACAAATTGGAAGGTTCAACCCAGGTTGCCAGTAAATGACTGAAAATCTCCAGTAAATTCTTTAGAGTGTACACAAACATAGAATACATCAAGCCATATTACAACAGGTGTCAGCAGTGTTGTAAGTTTTTTTTTCTACTGGATTTTTTTTAGGTATCACAACAACATTATTTTATACCCTATGTAGTAAGCATTTATACTGAATAGGAAGCCATTTCGGATTTTGCATGAGTACAGGTTAAAGACAGTAGATTTTTATATAGGTCTCAGGTAATTGAAATCTCAGTGACAGGAAAATGCTTCCTGCACTTTCTCCAGGGTCTACAAGGTTAACATCACCCCACCCCTAATCACCCCTAGTGGTGTGAGTGTACCAGTCATCTCCAAACACTTTTCCATTTATTCCTATGATATGTCAGTTACTTTTGACATTGTAGTATACATTATCCAGGTGATTCTTACCACGTTACCACACTGGACAGTTAGGAGGGGTGAAACAGACCTGTAATTGTGTATGTACGTGGTTCATTGAGCCCTTGATGACTGGCAAGTGTTTTTTTTTTTTTTGAAATCCAGGTTATTCTTTGACCCCTGCCAGATTATTTGAAACCAGTACCAACCTGGCAAGAACTCTGTGAGAGGGTTCTAAGGAAATATGACGGCCATGCTATGAGTATGCTGTTGTATAGTCGGAACCATGTAGCATTTCACTTCAGAAAACAAACTCACACCCATCAATAGATAGAACTGGAAACAATTATTACAGGTGATCTTTGTGTGAAGTTATAAGTGTGTGAGTAAAGTCGCTGGCTAATGTGTCCCTAATGAACGATTCTTCACACACATACACACAGAGAGAGAGAGAGAGAGAGAGAGAGAGAGAGAGATTGAGAGAGAGAGAAATAATCTGAAGGAATTACAAATGGCATACCGAACTGTGAGTACTGAATATAGGAAGCATGCTTATTCTTCACTCTAGCTAACACAACCTTGTTTGTATGTTGACCTGCTCTATTCTATTTAATATACACATGCAAATTGTCTGTAAACCAATAATCTTCTCCCCCTTCTGCCCTTGACAACATTACAACAAGGGACATGACTTGGATTTCATTTTCAAACTCGACTGGACTGATCATACGCAGCACTCTTTTGAATATATGAATATTTTATATTATCCTGATATGTATTAGAATGGATTTGAATCTGAAATAATAACAAATCTTTAGTCAAAGGCATCACAACCTTCTTAGAGTTATCCAGTATTTCGCCTTCTCATAGCCTGGCCACTGTCCTGTTACAGAAAAGATGACCTGACCAGCATCCACCCTCACATCTGTTGTGCATTTTTATCAGGACCATATTACCATTTCAAAGAGGGAATCCAGGATCTCACATAGGGCTTTATCTTGGAACATGGACAGGTTTTAGATGTGTAGCTCATGAACATGCAATAAGGCTGAAGGTTGACATATAGTCAGATGAAGCGTATTCTCTTTTATGACTAAAATGTGAGAGACAATGTGAGAGCCCGTTTAACCAACCGCTCCACTTGTGCCACTTGCTTCCTAAAGTTATAAACAATTCAACACATTATCTTTATTATGATTATAAGAAATGACTATCAAACATTATATAATAGATATGTAACAAAATGATATTAAAATATTAGTACTACATGGATAAAAACAGATTTGTCTTTGGTCCCTACCTTGCTAATGAAAGGTACTAAATGTAAAATAAGAAAACAATCAGCTACATGATTAAATACTAGTAAAAGACCCCAAGAAAAGAGTGAAACTACACATAAAACCTTTCTTTGGGACCCTGTCAGCAGGTCCAGACTTACATTCATAGTCTCATGTTTCCTATATGTTTCACTGTAGTTACTCAAAATGTCACAGTCAGTGCTAAATAATATACTGTAAATTAAACAAACAAATAAGAGGGCAGAATAGTAGCAGAGTAGTGCAGCTCCAGGGTCTCTGGTTCATCCAATCCAGGGTGTATTCCCGTCTCACGCTCACTATACCTGGGATAGGCTCTGGTTCCACCATGACCTTGACTAGGATAAAGTGCTTATTGAATATGAGTGAGTGAATGAATGAATGAAGTAGAATATCCAGAGTAATACCCGATAAATTAAATAAATTTAGGAAAGTAAAATTGATCAGTGACACTGTTAGTAAGGTTATAAATAAGACATTTGATTGTGTTTGGCTACTCTGTTCTGGGTCAAATTGATCAGGGTCACTGCTCTACACAGTAAAATGTCTCTCTCTCAGTGAGTGTCATTATCAACCACGAATAAAAAAGCCTGTCCAACAGTTAATCCAGTGTTACTGTAAATTGAACAGTAGTTGGTTTGCACTTCTTATTCTTACATATTTAATACATAAAAAAATAAGTCATGCTTGAGCTGCAATTTAATGTGGCATAGAGATAACATTTTAATCGCACCGTGGCTCATTATCACGTCTAACGTATATTGTTCTCCCACATCTTAGGCACTTTCATCTTTAGTAACTACTTCATCCTGGTAAGGGTGGTGGATCCATAGTCAATACTGGGAACACTGGGAGTGAGATGGGAATACACCCTGAATGGAATGCCAGTCCATCACACACTCAGTCACACATTTACAGTTATCAGTTCTCCTGTCTCTACAGGTGGTGAACTCATCTGCTGCAGAACTCTTTATAGTTGAAAAATGAGTGTATGCTGACAGACTAATGCAGAGGACATAAAAGAAATGTCTAAGACAAAGTTGGTTTCTTAAAACAATCTCTGCACTAGTGAGTAAAAACATCCCGTAATCCTTCCTCTTCCTTCATAAGTAGAGATGCATAATCCACATGAAACAGGGTAATGAGAAGACATACTGCGCAGCATAGTATAATTCTACACAAAACACTTTAACACAGTTTACAGATATCTAGTTTATCACCATATTGGTGTTTCCTTGGTACCAAAGAAAGAAAGGCAAATATTAGTTTTAAAGCTATGACCTCATTCTCAAAATTGCACTTTTTCAATAACACACACATACACACACACACACACACACACCAAGTTTGATAAGTATGGCACATCAAACTGACAGTTACAAAGGACAATATGACATTTATCAGCCCTCAGACATTTCTGACACATTCATTCTGGCCTCCAGAAAAAGTTACCCTCACATTTCCTACACTTCCTGGATGTCAGTGTTTTTCCTTGCATTTTAAGTTCCATCATCATCCTCTTGTGCGACTGCATGACATGTCAACTGTCGTAACTCATTGATTTGAAAAGAACTTTCACAGGGTTTGGAGCAAGTCTGAAGGAAACAAACGTAAAACTCAGTGTGAAAAACAATCCTCAAATAGAATTCAGTTCAAAGAATATTTTGCTAAGATAATCCAATTCAGAGAGGCGGGAAGCAGTGCTGTCTCACAGCTCCACGGTCTCTGGTTCAATCCTGAGCTTGGGTTATTGCCTGCGTGGAGTTTCACACGTTCACCATGTGCACGTGTGGGTTTCACCTCCAGTTACATCCCATCTCTCAAAAACATATCGGTCGGAAAATGATCTACTATAAATTGCCCCTAGGTGTGGATGATGTCCCATGTCCAGTATTCCCAGGACAGGCTCTGGAATCAGCGCAGGATAAAGCACTTACTGAACATGAATAAACGAATCAACTAAAAACCACAAGGTTATTATCATTATTAGGTTTTTGAAAGGTATTATAATAAAAGATCTACTCATCTAGAGAAAATTATTCATATGCATTTTTCCTGCCTCAACAATTTCCTCATTCCAGTCTGAATTCAAAACCATGCCACAGAAGTCAAACAGTCCCGTCCTGTTTCTGCTCCTTTGTGTCAGGCGCATTTGCATTTAAATAAAGTTCTTCTCTGAACTGGTACTGGTGAACAAGATATTTTCTTGATATGTGTTTGAATTGATCAGTCAATAAGTAAACTCAAGATAAGGACAAGATTGAATAAAGGCAGAATTTGAATGTCATTTTGATGAGTTGGTATGCAAACATACTTTGGAGCGATATGTATGTGGGCTTTGACAGGTTATTATCCTAATGTCTGTTTTAATCACTTTCAGTGGGCAGAGCAGGTACATACCAATACATACTATTCAATTAGCTGTGGTGCACCCTACTAGACCCAAATAGACAAAGAAAATGAAATAGTGACATTTATGTCATGAAGCAGCAGGATAAACTGTTTTTTTCTGCAAAAATTACAGTTCATTCATTCATTCATTCATTCATTCATTCATTCATTCATTCATTCATTCATCCCCATTATACTGATCAAGGAAGAAAATTAGTATAAAATACATTTTTGGTAAAAATATAATTTAAGTGTTGGAAGAAACAAAGTGGAAAATAAAGGCCAAGAATACAAACGAACCCATTAAATAAATGAAGCCCTTATTATAACCTTTATAATTGCATTATAAAATACTGAAATTGCCTCATAAAGCTGCTCAGAAAAAGAGAAATAAAAATAGAAATTAATCATTGCATTATTAATAAACATCACTGTACTTAATACCTGGTCAGAAAGAATAACCGAATTAATCTCTGGTAATTTGGTACAGCACGGCTCACTTGATAATGGAAATAATGACAAACTGTCCAAAATACATGATCAAGGGTAATATTCTGAGCTGTAATATTGTGTACCATCAAGTTCGAAAAGCACTAAAAGCTGTCTAATTCAGTCAAATGCCTTCCTCTCTAATACGTCTAAGTGTCAAGACAGAGATGAGTGCTTGCCATCACTGGATGTCCTTAGTTTATTTGTCAAAAAATTGTATATGAGAAGCAGATATCACACCTATAGCTAAAATGTATCAGGATGTATTCTG